GAAATCGATGAAATAAATATCAACATTCCACTTTCTTTGATGATGAATACTTACTCATGTGCATTCGCGTCATGTGATGTCGCCTCTCCGAAGTCGTCTTAAACAGGCGATCGCACACTTCACACATATATTTAACTTCTGGCATGTGTATTGCTCGTACATGTAGCCGCATCCTAAAACGTTGGCTTGAACCTTTGTAATAAGTTGGATGACATATGAAATCACCTCGGTCATGATTTTGAAAAAAAGATCGATTTCACGAAAAGCCAGGACAAAAGGTAAAGCAACCAGCGTTGATCAAACACTCACTCGGATGGGCCACGCACTCTACCTTTATTCGAAATCATTTAGCGCATTTAAAATGCGATTTGGCCTCCAAAATGGCTTATGGGGTCGGGTTTTGTTTCCTGTCAAGTCCAATAGCAGCTATGCTTCCCTAGAGGGGTGGAAGCCTCATTCGCCTCGAGAGCATTTGAATCGGATAACAATCCCTAGATCATATGGGTGGTAAGCAATGAAGCAATTCATCTCACGTTTGACCACGAAAATGCCGAAGATACCAATCATAGTTTCTTACCTTTCTCTTGTTGCAAACTGGCTCCCGCATTGGTCACAAGCAAATGGAGTGGAGCCTGTATGTGATCTCAGGTGTCGGGAAAGCAGATACCTAAATTGTTACACATCAAAATCTCAATTTTTTCATAACATCGAAAACCAAAGGCACACCTGTGAGCATATCGCCTTTCCATCTTGCTGCATCCTCGCCAAAGACACTGCCTGCTGGTTGAAATTAGGTGAGCCTCTAAAAAATAGTAGAAGCATTCCATTGATAAGCTGAGAAGGTCACGATCTTCGAAGATAAGACGACAGACCTGCATGTTTCTGCAGTCCTTCCAAATTCTCAAAACTGAGCGTACAGCTTCCCCACTGGCAGTGGTGGGTATTTAGGACAACACCATGCTAGAAGAACAACAGAGTACATCTCTGCCTGTATGGCTTTTATCACACACTAATTCACGCGTGCCTTAGCAGAGCAACTCCTCTGCGTATGCAACCGAGTAAGGAAAGAGTAGGCACGAAACACGATAAAGATTAGCCGTGACTGTGCAATTAAATGTTGGCTTGTTAATTGATGGTTACACTGGCCTTCACTTCGCCAATTACCAGCAGCAATACTTTCAAATTAAAAATCACGTTTTCACGCTCTTCGATGTGTCATTGCACGGTGAAACTCTAGCGCTCAAATCGAACACAGTTTATATCTTCTAGCAATTCACCTTCATCAGCTTTGAGGGTTTATGATCTGCCATAGCTCTTCTGCCTCTCAACCTTTCCTGTATCAAAACAATAACCAAGATGAACCTATTAACAGTTATGGGTCGGACGAAGATTCTGTGTGGATAACTAGTAACTAACTCGTCCACAAAAATAGCTACACGTCCCACACAAATTCAACTTTAGACTTATAGAGAACTTTTGCAGCTTCTGTGTCAGCTTACAAGTGACACAGAAGCTGCAAAAGTTCTCTATAAACACTGACTGTTTCTTCCAAGACCTACTCATTTGAGGACTATCTCCGTTGGGAACGTTAAGCCGCTATGAATTTTCTGATAAACGCTAGCATCGCACCGCTTTATAAAGCCGTGTTACCAATGCCTGTGAAACTTTTATTATGTTAACGTCCTCTCGGTCGGAATCTCTAGGAAATAGAGGTATAACATGGTTTAGAAGACAAGACTTATATAATGACCCGGATCTAAATCAGACCACTACTGCAAGTTGTACCAAAAAACTAGCACAGAAAATGTATCTAACAATAAGTAGAGAAAGACAAAGGTGAGTAAATTTGAGCTCAGAAGAAAGCCACAAAGCCCTAAAACTTACCACATCAGGAGCAGAAGAGGATGCTGTTGCAACGTCTTCGTATGCCATCCACTCGTAGCCTTCATTTGCAGACTGCAAAGGTTTACATAATTCCAAGTTCAACAGAAACGTACTGTGCGCAAAATGCACTAACAAGGGAGTATTTCAGGGAGTGAGATATTTTTCAAAACGGTTCTTTGCATTATATGAACTCATGCGTATATTACAAACCCGAGATCCATTTTTCGCTGAGCGGCCCGTGAAGGCCAAAAAAGTTGTGGAGAAATGGTCCGTGGTTCGGCTTTATGTGAAGACAAAATTTTGCATTTTAGGTTGGGCTATGTGTGAAGAACAATATTTGCATTTTAGGTTGCGGCTGATGAAAGCTGTCGCCAAAAGGAGCGTTACCCAATAGTAAGTGCGGCAGTATCATTACCCACAACCGGAGACGTTTGGAAGCAGTTCCATACATTCTCTAACGCTCGGTGAAAAACTCAATCCAGGACAGATTTGTCGGATCCTTTTCGGGACTTCAGACGCAAGCGCTCATGCGATAATGCCTTCAGCTTGGTAGTCATCGTGAGAGTCCCTATAGCAACGCGGTGAAACGTTTTGAAAAAAAAAAAAAAAACGCTCACACCCTGAGAAAATTCCCCTGTAATAGCGAGCACTACCTTTCTCATGCGCGATCTGTCACTTCTTATTTCGTCAATAAATGCTGTAATACTCACCCCTGATGGAACTTGAAATGCATACGAATGCTCTTGCTCGTCTAAATCCCACTGCCCTACACGATAATAGTAGTCGTGAGTGGAGTTCACAAAACGATCGAAATCATTGGAAGGCAAATAGCAGTGATCAAACGCGTCCACTTGTGATGAAGCAGGTACAGTCTTAAAGCTGTGTAAATGTAAGATATACATCGGATATACATTTTGGTCTAATGTTAATTCCGGAGAAATCTGCCATGCAAACTTAATGACCTAACCTCCTGGTTATTGAATTCCCAGTTGAACGGTCTTTCTTCATAATCAAGTTTAGCCATATCTGCCAGCATCAGGAGGTTATCCGATTCCTCCATGGTGCCTAGAAGCGCTTTTGTTAGAACGCGTTATCTGCTGCTGAAGGAACTCGGGGTACTGAGCGACGTATGTAGGAGGCAAAAGATGGTAACGTAGTGCCTACAAACACACGTTTTCGAGCAGTTTTCCGTTATAACCGTTTCATGAATTCCGTTCTCTTTCGTAGATTGCCATTTCGCTGTCGCGATGAGGTCTCTAGGCGAATATAAAGAATGTGGCTTTAAGCTCCCTCCTTCCTTTGGCAAATACGGTTGTACTAGTAACAATTTCGTGTGAAGACCAAAAGTACAGGGTAGGCAAAAACCAAGCTAATCGCCCCGGCCCTCCCCCCGGGCCGGCGGCGCCAAAAGACCGAAATCGCGCCTTAGATAGTCAAAGTCAGTCGACCTTTCTGTGTCTATGAGTCAGTGTTACAAGCATTGGTGCGGGAATTACCCAACTTACCCATCTCTAATTAGGCGTTCCCGAGTAGGCCCAAGTTCCAAAGAGGTCTACACAACCAATCTATGTTACGATGTTTAGCAAAGGTTGCCCTTCGGCAACACTCGCACTGCGCGACATTTCATTAGCGATCAGAAAGCTCGAAGTGTGTCACTTCACAATTGTGTGATGACGTTCCCGCGATATTCTGTGGAATTAAATTTTGAATACTATATGCGCGCATTCATCAGGGATATGGGCGCACAATGCTTGCTCTGGCATCTTTTATTCCTGGTCTGAAAATCTCTTTGCGTCTGCAGTAGTGAACTTGAGCCTGGAGGAGTTCAAGAGTATCGCTGCTCTCGTGAGTTTTGCTGGCCCTATGGGATCTTCTTTGCATCGTAGGTCACACTTTCAGTGGGAGTTCTGCAGAAAGCCAACTTTCAGTGTCATTGATCTGATTGCTTTACTTATTTGGAACTGATCCAACAGAAGAACATCTTCTCTTCAGATGAAACGCTTAAAGGAATCTTCCACGGACCATGGACCAGTGGGCGGGACCGGAAGTGGTTTTGCGACGAAATGCATGGTAGGTACGGATCCACGTTCATGGGAAGGTTTGAAGTGAATCCTGTTCACGTTCGTGCGTTCGACACGTGGATCCGTACCTACCATGCATTTCGTCACAAAAACTTCCGGTCCCGCCCACTGGTCCATGGTCCGTGGAAGATTCCTTTAAATGAAGCTCATGACGAAGTCAAGACAGTGTCATATGTAGCATCTTTGCTTTAATTTGCTCGCATCGGTAATTGGTTATTATTATGGGTTATTGCCGTGCAAAAGCGGAAGATTCGCTTTCTGATCTAGTGAGCCACACCCGAATATTCAGCAAAAACTCTGGTGTTTGAAAATAAAAGCTTCAAGCGGTACACTCTTGGTAACGTAGTTTTACTCTCCTTCTAAACTGCACTAGCATCTCACTACGGTAACAGTGAAATTCGTATTTTGCGAAGCAGTGAAAAAAAGGGACCCAGATTGCGAGAAAAAGAGTGCCGATACACAAACCGGAAGTGATTACATCACTAACAAATTTGTTATAGAGGAAGCTGGTTGAAACTTGTCAGATCAGAAAGTGATTGCAGAGAAAATCTCGATCAAAGCAATCATAACAACTGGATAACTATTCTGCCAAATTACTTATGTTATCCTCTTAAGAGTGGAACAAGACACGACATTTAAAAACAAACAGTTCCACATGTTAAAATACCACACGAGGCTGAATACCTGCCATGACAACTGTCAATTTACACAAAATCACAGGCAAGGAATTGTTTATTTCAGTAAAATGAAAATGAAAATGGCAAGGAAATTTCAACCAACGTGAGCAAATCCCATAAGTAGACCATGAATGTGTAGAAAAAGTGACCGCAGATAGAACCTTATAAAGTGAGTTATAGCCACGGGAAGCAAACAAATAACAATGCTCGGTGGAATGAGTATAAAGTGAAGTGACTGGAAAAGAAAAACGGAATGATACCAGAGGATAGTTCCTGAAGGTACGAAACCAGATTCTAGGCTTCTCCCCAGCATTCACATATTCTAACATCGATTCAAAAATAATTTGCACTGGTGTGAAAAAATTAGACCAATAGAGTAAGGCGATTCAAAAAAAACTGAGGAAACAAAGATTGGAATAACGGCTCATCACAATAGCTGAAAACGAGATTTAACTAATCAGTTCTCGTTCAGAAATTAGAAGAATTGTACAACGTATAAAAACATATCACTGGATTACTGCAAAGGTTTCGCTGATCCTTAAAAAATGTAAAGCAGTTCCTATTAATTAAAGCAGAATGTTATTCACAAAATTCATCACAAAATATGACTGAAAACCGTTTAAAAACGTTTCACGTTGATAAGGCGCATTAGCAATGTACATACAATAAATGGAAACGATGAGGATTTTTGCGACAGCCAGCGAGACATCATTCGATCCGGCTCAAACACCTACTTGCTAAATGATCTGCAGGCATCGATTTGAGCAAGGAATTACATAAAGATCATTAAGCAGAACAGCAGAATATAATTAACCAAAATGCGATGAAAAAACATACATTTCTTTCTAAGTAGATATCAATCGTGATTCACTACCCCACTCACTCTCTTGGCGAATCAAGCGCACCATAAAAGGTATGACGGCCAGGACAAGGCACACATTTAATATCATCTGAAATACATGGCAGCATACCAAACTGAAGCTGTTTGAAAAATTAGTTTCCTTTTGGAATTGGGTGCTTACCGAGGCAATAAATAAGTTCCTGTAGTTGTTGTAACGGTATTCACATGGAACTGGACATTGGAAATGTGGTACCCATGTGATAACATGATCTGATACCTACCCGAAAGAAATAATAAATAGAATTAGATTATGGTGACATTAGTTTCCAGGCAATAACTCACATTACGAATTCTATCACTGAGCACTTTAGCAATTTGAATAACAGTTGTGTTTGTGAGAATATCCTTAGGATGAAGCTCACTTAGGAATGATTCTTCAATCGATGCCGCAACCTGAATATTACTTTCAATGAATTTCGTGTGGAACATTGATTTGCACAGCTCGTATACCTGCATCGACACCGTAAAAAGAGCAAATGTGGAATTCTGCAGAATTCCATATTGTTCTTTTCTCTGTTTCATATTGCAGGTTTACAAGAAGAACAAGAAATTAGAAATGCCAATTGAAAATTTACTAACGGAGTCCATGTCTTGACCATCTGGTTTACCATGGCGACGATGCCATTGATCGATATCTACCTGAAGCGCAATTAAACTATGAATTACGAAGCAAGAGATCTACACAAATAATTAATGCTCCTAATGAATAGCGGCGGCACGTGAAGCGGAAACAAGTGGCGCCGTTACCACATTTGTGGTTTGTGGTCCCGCTATGTTGGTACCGAACCTTCCACCCATCCGAGATCAGCTATGTGCTAGGTGTCAATCCGTCTAGGAGGCCAAACCCATTAACTGTACAGAGTGGGACAGAATTATGGTCCACCAAACCCCAATGACGATATCCGAAATGAATCTAACTAAGTATTATTCATTACAAAAATAACAACCAAAGAAACAGATCTATTTTTTCAAAGTGATCGAATGGACGCCTTTAGCGGTTCTTCAGAACACCGGCCATCGCTATAAATGCGGCAGGTAGAGTGATGAATAATTTCATACCAGGATTTAAAAAGTGCCGTTTCAAGAAATCTCATATTAGGGTATTTGATAGAGTAGGTGTACACTTGATATAGCTATCGACGAAAGGCGGCTCTAGAAAGAAAACATTCTCAAGCCTCATGTTTCAGGCAAACTCGCCCCGACTGAGCAAAGGCCACTTGACGAAGGCGGAACATTCGTTAAGAAACTTTGCAAAAATATCTCAGGTGAA